CTCGACTTGCTTGTTCTGGGCTGTGCCAATCGGCTCGGCCTCGGTCCTGTGGGCTGCGCTAGCGGCGTATTTGTCTGATTTATTGCGCTGTCCACATATTCCCGCTCCGTAGTTCCGGGCCCAGGCTCGTTGCTAGCCGTCTTTCGCGATCCGCTCTCAGCTAGCTCCGAAGAGCTCCCCAGAGCCATTCTTGGAAGCGGCCCCTCTACAATATGATAGAGGGAAAGGGGAAAACCATGAGAAACGGAATAGCGATAAAAGTAAATCTTCTAAGGAAATATGAAATCAGGGTTGCATCCAGGTACACACATCACGCGAGTGGCACAGCCAATAACATCGTAAGCGTAAATACCATAAATAAAAGCTGGGAAGTGTAAAGGCTAGATCATTAGAATAAAATACAACACGTGTCAGCCCTCAATTTGCCGTGCGTTTCCAATTTGTTAGTGTATCGCTTCCGCTTTGCTTTCCAAACATTTCAACGAAACCCATGTAGCATACCTCCTGATAATCCCGATGGCAGAGCTGCGTGGCAGTCGACACCGAGTTGAAAAATCTCGGATGCCTGATGTCCATTGCAGGAGATGATCATAATGAATGAGTGTACTTTTCAGAATTGAGTATGATGAACGAGCAAAGTATCATTTTCACCTAGGGTACGTGTGTTTGAGCGTGATCATTAGCGAACAACGTGAACTGACGGAGAAAAAAATGTCTCCTTTGGCGGAAATGTCTGCTTCGTGTTCTCACTGTTATCCTTTAGTTTCCCAGCACAGACACAAAATCAAGCAGCACAAAGTGACATAGTGGGGAGTTTCGGAGCTGCTTTCTCCCAACACTGCACTAAAAACTCAACCAGTTTTGTCCATATTTGGACTTTTCAGGTGGGGTTAGCTTGAGCTGAGAGGGGAGCCCAGCACATTGGTTGACGGCTTTCATCTTGGTCACTAGGCCAGATCTACACAGCCGCGCCTGACACAACGGTTAAAATTTCGTTATTGGGTCTTGTAGTAACCGCATGTTTCTGGATTGTGACACGCAAGCTCGATTGATGCTACGAACGGCTGCTTTATATATATATATATATATATATATATATATATATATATATATATATATATATATATATATATATCTGTCACATTAGTGCTGTCACTCGCACAACCTACATATCACGAATCTACATATTAGTATGGTGATTTACTATTCCTACGGTGTGTTGGAACGATTTGTTTGACGTGTATTTAACCCACATTTGCAATTGAATAGTCAGCCTTTTGCTAAGCATTCGTTTGGCAATAGAATTTGATTCTCTGTACAGATACAAATCTGATATGCACTTCGCTTGCCTAATTAGCGTCCGCCGTTTATTCTCACTGGAGTCTTCTACGTCACAATTCAGTTAGCACTAATCGTCAATGCGATTATAACTAGAGATGATATGAATAGACGGAATCGGCTGACAAGTCGAAGAAAGCAACTGGTGATCGCATAGTTGTATCAAACGCAGTCGCTTAAGTGATGGGCGTTTAAAACTGGCATCGGAGTTAGCCAGTCTCAAGCTAACGGTGCTACGGTGTTTGAGGCTGGGTATCCTCAGTTAGGTGGTCTGGTGGGGAGAAGCTTATGACAGTCTACGGCTTATCTGTGCAAAAAGAAGAAAACATAAACGCAATTCATTCGGAAAAGTTAAGGGGCTGCTGTCTGGACTAATCCTACCTCTGCAGTTCTTTCAATCCACTTTGAATTAGTGGACGTAAAGAGCCACGGAAACTAGCATCCAAAAATCCTAATTGGTCATGTAGAATTCTATACATGAAAAAACTAATAAGGCTGATAGGATCACCTCTTGTAGAACATCAGATTCAAGAGGGATACTTAAGAATGTGTTATCGTTTAACTGAGTGGTGTACATGGTCAATGAAATATCAATACGACAAAATACACACATGAGTGAAAACGGTTCTGGAAGAGAAATTTTAGCAACTGTTGATTTATCTAGGTTTCCAAAAGCTCGTGAGTATTTAGATAATATAAGCCGTTCGGACTTATATTTCGGTTCAACACATACGCTATGGAGTGAACAAAATATGATCCGACGTTCACTATTCATTATACATCTGGGCTGGTTCCTTTTGATTTTACATCAAGGTAACTTATTGTATTCATTGGAGAAACAGTTTTTAATCGTAGGTGGATAATTAAAATTAAAAGCTTGTCCGTGTTGTCCTATATTCACATCTATCGACAAGTGCAGTTATAGCGTAACGGGGATCCAGTGGTTCTCTGGCGGTTCATGGCTGTATACCTGAGCTTAGCTATGTAGAGTTGAACCACTTGGATTAACCTGTGTGTGCCTTCAAACCGCGCGCATAGTTTAATTGCGACACAGCTCTCGTCCGACAGGTGTTAGTCCCCTCCACAGATGGAAAATGCTTCATTCCCATGAGTATATTTATTTATTTCGTTCGATCGCGTACAAATACTTTGATTTATTCTTTTGTTATTACAGTAAACACCTCCAAGGAAAAAGCTCTTATGGGATTACATTCTCAGCATATTGTTAAGCAATTTTGTCGCTTATTTTCTCCGTAGTTTAGAAAGTCGCTGGTTATCAGCGATCCCCTCGTCAGTGGATACGGTTTTCTTGTACAGTGTAGCGTTTGCCGAACCGATCTGCCAGAGATTATCGTCAAGTGAGTTCATTCGTAGGACATATTTAGTCGCTTGCTAGCTTAAGATATAACGAAGCAGAACATCCTACCAAATAGATGATATGATACTTATTACTTGTTGTAATTGAGGGAACGCCTCTGTTATGATTGCGGATGCCTGATAAGATTGTCACTGGCACGGTTGGAGCACGCCTACGTCAACAGCTTGGAACACTGGCCAATCGAACGGATTTGCGCTGACATGACGGCGTTAGCTTAGCCCGGGGTACACGCTGGTGAGACGGAAAGTGAGCGAGCGTGAGAACGATCCTAGCCGCAAGTATTCGGGTAGACGCTGAGCCCTCGGAACGGACGCACACGAGCGGCGGTTACGGTAGACGAGCACTAGTGACTTAGACGCGAACGCTGCCCGGCTAACGATGCACGCAAATTCACGTGACCCGACCGATTCCCAACTACGGCGAAGAGGAAGAAAAGCAGATGGTCTTCTGTAGGCACTTTTACGGCCAACAAAGGCGAATCACAGCCAATGCAATGGGTTAATAAGTTAGGGAAAATAGCTGCCACGACCGGGTGGTAGTTTGTAGAAGAGCATTGTCAACAGCTCCGCAGTTGGGCCGCGACTTGGAGTGGCTGAACGCTGCAGCTTCGTGGAGAGGAATTGGACCTTGCTTTCCACAGCCATTCTGTCGGAGTTTCTGCAGGGATATTTGACGGGCTCGCAGCATTACTAATATGTACTCTAAAGTTGGACAAGTATAAAATTTGTCGTGCAAATGCCAAGTACCATCAAACAACCCATCACTACAGGGCATATACAGTTAGCAGCACAAAGCAGTTTACATTTCCGAACATGAATTGCAAGCTTCGAAGGCTATGCAGTCCATTGGATACATATGCTATTATTTTTATCTTACGGAATATTTTATCTGGCTTTACGAAACGTATGTATTACCTTGTATAGAACAGTGCTCAATGGTCCAATCGAATATGCGAAATTTTGACCGGTATGCTCTTGAGAGGGTTCAGCGACGTTCCACGAAAATGTTATACGCTAGTTTCTCCAAGATGACATACAAACAGCATTGTGATAATCTTTGAGTTAGCATAATTCGGCATCGTAGAATGAAGGTGAAGCTGTGTTTTCCCTACCGGGTCATAAACTATAACGTGTACGGTTCTGATAACAGTGTTTACATAGTACTAAAAATAGAAATTCAGTGCGTAACAGAGAAATAAACGGCACCATTCCAAAGTTCATTACTAGAATCAGAGAACGTTTCTGTAGTCCATTGCTCAACTATTTGGAACAAATTTCAGAGAGAGATATCGAAACATGCTGTACAGTGCGTAATTTAAGTTTGCTATTAATTGACAGTTAACCGCTCAAAACGCGGTTAATATGCTTGTGGCATGACAGTCCCTGGAGAAAGGTATCGATGGCCCCTGACAGATTTACGAAAAACACGTCTCTGGTCGAAAGGACCACATACATGCAAATTTGGCCCGCAGATCCTTTCGTTGCATTTTCTTTCCGGTCCGTACATCTACCGTGCTTTGTGTAGAACGGTGGTACATTATGAGGTAGAAAGACCAGCAAACAATTCAGATTACTTTTTGGCACATAAACTTAACTGTGCTCACAAATTTTTTGGTGAATTATGCAGTCAACTGAAATGGTTGTCAATCTCTTGGCTTTTCGGCTGTTTTGATGAACAGCTCGCGTAGTCGATGGATATGCAATTTTTCTGTTTGCTTATTTGAAATAAATGCGTGTCTCACTACTAGTGCCGTGGATGGTCTTGTAACGACACAACGAAATGCATTACTCATACACTAAACAGCTTTTCATTTAGCGCAGTTTGAGATACAAAGAAGCCTGCGTCAAATATGCACTAATGACATTGATTCAGACTCTTCGGACACGCTACCCGAGAAACGTACTACAGCATAATACATTCCTTGCTTTGGAACGTGGTAGTGAATACCAGCAACGACACTTAACGAAAATAACGGTGGTTTGAGCGGAGGTGACAGAACTCAGAGGTGTACACTACTAGGCGATGACATATTGAACCACAAGTGCACACCTCAAAACACAAAAGGACACGCGCACATCCAACGCACTGGTGCAACGAATGCCAACCCATGCCGTCTACCAGAGTTGATAACTTCGACCTGCGGCGTGTGTGCAGTAGCGCGGTCGTGCGATCATGTGAACTCATTTCACTTCACAATCGACGGAAATCTCGCGGTTTCATTCGTCACCAATGCAAAACAGAATTGGGAGTGGTATCAAAACAATTATGCACACCCACCTTTGTCAAAGTGATCACGGTTTATGCTAAGTCGGAATACCGATAATGTCGGAGAAAAAAGCACCGACTGGTGATCACTTGAAATCATTTCATGATCGATGTCATGTCCATTTCGCCTTGAAAGGTACTTACCAAGGCTGACGCTGACCTCAGGATTATTTGTTATAAAAGATTTTGATTGTTTTTTGCAAGTTGCAGCCAATTGGTACAATGACCGTACAATGATTTGGAAACATGTGCATTACGGAGGGCCATCAGGTCCAGTTGGTGTGTACCAGAGAGCTTAATAAGGTATAGTGCTATCATCAAAGGAAGCTCACGAATCCGGTTGCATGACAGAAAATCCCAATTACTTATGCACCCAATATGGGGAGCTACAGAGGCGAAGACCGGACTATTTCTTCCATGTGCCTCAATCACCACAATCTGATGGTCATACAGGGCATGAACGGTCAAGTCGGAGTCAGGATGGAGCTACGGCGTTCCAGTTTCGACCCCGAAGACTCCTCCAATCCATTTCACATGTGCTTGTACCCCGCAAGTTCGCTTTCGACCCTATGATGATAGACAGAGGTCATAAACGTTATAAGGAGCGAAGTAAGTCGATGTGGTTAACAGACTTCGATCAAAGTCAGTCAGTAGACTCGAATACTACCTCCAGCTTCATTGAGAAAAAGCGTATATCTCAACCGGTGGTTGCTCGCCACGGCCGATTCGTAGTGGGTCATCCAGAAAGTTGCAATGCTAGTATTGTGGACGACTTGGACCAGGCTCCTGCGGATAACGCGCCCCTTGGTAACGGTGTTGAAAACATATGTGTTAGCAATTCGAGTATCCCAGCGCACAACGGCGGCCTACTTACCACGGAGAAAGCCCCAACTAGATTCAACACTTTTAGGCCTAATGCAGTTATAATGGAGAATGACCTACTGCGTACTCCATCTCTTTTACCTCCAAATAAAACAGTGCTAGTACGCATGAATATTAGTGGATCCAGTTTCCTTGTGTCCCTATCCACACTTCAGCGGGATCACTTTGTGTACAGTAAGCTGCTAGAGGATGCTTTATGGCTTCCGGAACAAAAGGAATACTTTTTGGAACGCGATCCTGGTGTGTTTCGTTTTGTACACAACTATCTCAGAAGAGGAGAGGTGCATTTACCGGCCGGAGTATGCGGTCCGTTGTTGGAGAAGGAGCTGGATGACTGGGGTATACCACTTGGGTTGGACATCCAAAGGTGTTGCCTAGGTCCCGTGATGGACAGCAAGTCCAAATTGCAGTCATTGAAAAAATTTGAGCGAAAATTAGAACCAAAGTATATCAAGCCGAGAGCCTGGATAAAGTGAGTTTCTCTCCGCATTCTGTTTCCAGCTAACCTGGTCCCACTATAATCACCCTACTCCCAGTTACAAAATAGGTTAGCATGGCAGAGCGGCGGTGAAGTCAACCTAGGGAACAGGCTCGTCTCTGCACTCGACCTTTGTTTTTCGGTATACGCCCTTTCAAAAAACGAACATCGCATATGTATTAGTGTGACTGAATTGCTGGCTGTGTAGATAGCTTGTGATAAGCGATCTCAGTCTTGACCTTGAAGTATCTTGGAGTAACTCTTAGTCAGTCGGGTCAATGGGACCGTAGCTATTAATAAAAACGTTACCGGCATCAGCTTTCGCTGCAGCAGGTTGGCAAGACGAAGTTTATTATAACGCTGTTCTGGGTACTTCCTACAGGTTAGATAAATCACACATCAGTAATATATGGCAAGCCTCCTCCTAGTTGAACAGCAATCATGTGGGAACGATGGAGTTACTTGATACGGAGGATCCTAACAGAAGTATACATATCATGAGCACTGGAAAGAGTAAACCATGATTTCAAGTCTCGTTCCAGTATGCGCTTTTCATAAACGTGCTAATATACACCGAAATTTCTAGGACCTGAAGGCTTGTGGAGAATTTAATGTATCTGTGAATATTGGACTGCATTTGTCACATAGGATGTGCGCCTGTTTGTTTGTCATTGGGTCTTGTACACCTTCGTATCAGAAGTTCCCCCCGAATGCACCTTGAAGTTGGAAATGTAGTGTGTTCCAAACTCGACCTGAGGTTTGTCAATTTGCGGTTTTTTGTTACTGGCCTCACAAACAGTAATCACTAAACTCCGAACAAAGGCAGAAAAATACTGGTTCCTGTGGATTCCAGGTTTGCGATCTACGAAGTGCCAACATGAGTATCAGTGGGTAAGGGGTTATCTTTTATTTCGCCGACTGCATTACTTTGAGACCAGCGCTGAATCTTGTGGGAAAAGCCACCCGAGGAACTCCTCGCTAAAACAATGAAACAAACGTCATTGACAGGTTTGGAAGCATTTATTTAACAGATCCTATGAGTTGCCCATGGAAAAAATTGATAAAACAGAAACAGATAAATGACAGCCCAGTATTGATGGTTTGCTGAACGAGTGGATAGGTGATACATACCAGACATCAGATTGCACAGTGACGAGAATCATGATTTGTCGGAAATGCTATCACAAAACCATACGTCAACGGGTAAGCAAGATAACTGGATTGCCTCTAAGTCGGTTCGGTTTCAAAACCTACACGGTATACTGGATGGTATAGTTGATGACATCCGGTTCCGGATATGCCTGACCCTCAGCCTCCATAATGGAACAATGGTTTATTACGGGTAAAAATGCATTGCTTTACAAGTCCCATGGGATGGAAATTATTTCGAAAAGTGAGTTGCATGATAAAGTGAAAAGCGTTTTGACGAACTTACCATGAACTCATGTAGAATTACGCAAACGTTCGCGCATTAAACTTATAAATCCAAAAATCCGTTGGTCGGGAGTTTTACAAGACACCGTTAGATTGCGTTTTGTAGACCATGGATAAAAAGTCATAAAATAAAATGCAAACGAGACAATGCATCGTCAACCCGTTTGTCAAATATCGCCAGATTGGGGGCAGACACGACATAATTAGGGTTAGCGTACCAAGGCTGGCACAAGCGGACAGAAAAGAAATTTCTGCGACATCCAAGCCGGCTATACTGAATTATCAGTTTCAGAGAGTGATCCCGTAGGTTGGTGTTGTGGCTCAATTCCAGCAGCGGACGGAAAATGTGATTTGGGTTCTTCAGAACTTGGTAAACTATTATGAGATACCCCGCAAAAGCCGATATCGACTGCTGTACATTCTTAGAGATTTCAGTCCAAGCTGATGAGGCAGATGAAAGAGGCCCCTGACGTTCTTGGTTGCCCGTCGTTGAGGAGTCTCGAGAGCAGCGAGATCCTGTTTCTGCCACAGCTTCCAAGCCTGAATAGCATATTCCACGTGCGGTCGCAAGTAGGCGTTAAGCATTTGGGGAAATATTGATGGTTCAAACCGACCGAAGGCTCTGCGAAGAAGGCCGAAGTGTTGATTTCCGGTTCTCGTCGCCTTCTCTGCCTGTTTTGAACACCCGAGATTTTCCTGTACCAATACACTCAGATCATACTTCTGCGAGGCCTTCTCCAAGGTGTGGTCTCCAATCTTGTAAGCGCTTACTGGCTAGTGACGCAGATGCATCACCTTGCACTTAGCTATGTTCAACTGAAGCATGTTCCTCTTTGAATATTCATAAATACAAGCTAGGTCAGTGTTACTAATCGCCCGACATATCTTGACATCAACGGCGAAAAGCAGGAAATTTGAGGAGATAACTCTTGCCAGGTGGTTAATAAACACCAGGAATAAGCGCGGTCCCAGCACTGAGCCCTTTGGAACACTACATTCCACCTCAGTCGGGTTAGAGAGTGATTCCCTAACGCGTACTTGAAGCTTCCGTTGGTGAAGAAAGTTGCCAATCCAACCAACTACAGGATCTCCGATTCCGTAGCTCTGTGGCCGTTGAAGTAGGATGCGGTGATCCAGACGGTCGAAAGCTTTGGAGAAGTCTAGGTGGATGATGTCAACTCCGACCCCATCATCAGGCACTTCCTTCCAACTACCGCGTGCAATCAGTAGGTTGGTGGTGCATGATCGGTGTTGACGGTAGCCATGCTGCTCCGGTGACAAAATATTGTATTTATCCAGGCAGTCTGTTAGAGCCTCAATCACGACCGCTTCCATTACCTTCGCGAGCACAGGGAGGAGAGTCACTGGGCGATAGTTTGCAGGCGCTGAACGGCTGCGGCCTTTAGAAAATGGGGTGATATTTTCGCGCTTCCACATAGTGGGGACTTGTTGTTCATCAAAACACCTTTGGAAGAACTATGACAGTGGTACAGCAAGCTTGTTGGCTGCAGCCTTCAGTGCTTTCGGGCGGATGTTTCCGGCTTCTGGAGTGCTATGATTGCCCAGTGAGTACAACTTCCTTAGCACAACTGGTGGGTTAAAAATTACATGTCTAGACAATGGAGTCGGTAATATGCATGAAAATATGGGACATGTAGAGACTGCGAGTTCGAAAATTGTGGCGTATTGTATCCGCAGGGCATTAGTTGCTTATTCGGCACTTTGTAATCCACCGCCCGTCGTGAAAAGTGGAGGAATTCCATGTTTCACTTTAAGAAGATTATTGATATGCCTATATAGCAGTTTGTTGTTTGCCAGGAATGTTTTGGCTAGGCGCTGTCGATAAGTTACTCTGTCCTCAAGGACAAGTGCAGTGCCATGGCTGCGATGGGTCAGGAAATCGCCCCAAGTCTCTGAATCGGAGTTAATCTTGAAGCACGCCATGCTGCATCCCTTATCGCCAGGCATTATCGGGTCCTGTTCCTTAGAATTGGAGGCATTTTTGCAACACAATGGAGCTTGGTCTCTGAGACACTGTTTACGATGTCGCTGAGTCTAGCAACGAACTCTGTCCAAACGTTGTCAAGGGGACTGTGGTTTGAGAATTCCCAAGCGGCTGCATCGACGAGTTCTTTCGATACGTGGTAGCGCGTGATTGTATGTTAGTTTCGAGTGTTCAGATGGACACGCTGCACGACACACATAGTTGAATGTTATTATTACATGGTCAATGAGACCTAGTTGACTATCTATCAATGTCAACCATGAGCTCTTTATTCGTCAGCTCAAGGTCCAATATGGACGATTTGTTTGCTGTCCTGAATCTAGTGGGCGTGGTGACGTGATTGTACAAAGGAATATTAGCGATCAGTTTCTGCAAGTCTGCTTTGAACTGCTCACTGGGCGATGCCGAAACCTCCAGATTGTGTAGATTGAAGTCCCGGGAGATGAGAGTGTGGCTGTGCCTAGTGCGTGTTACACTGTTCAGGCCACGGATCGAGCGGGAATTCATTTCCAGAGAGGACGTTGGGGGGCGGTAAACGACAGCTACGAGACATGCGTCGTTGTGTCTTAGTCGGAGACGGAACCAGAGGGAGTCGGTAACGTGTGTTTCCAGGTCATCAACTATTGTACATCGTAGATCGCTGCAGTAGTAGAGTAGAACCCCAGTTCCTCTGCTGGGGCGGTCGTTCCTGATGAGTGACATTCCGGCTATCTAAACCTCAGCATCAGTCACCTCTTGTTGTAACCAAGTTTCGGTAATAGAAATTAGGTCCCAACCATTCGAAACCTGACGTAGTCAAAGTTTGTTAACTTTAATGAGGAGCCCTTGAGCGTTAGTGTACATAAATGAAAGTTTCTCAGATTTAAGCAATGTTTCGGAGGTTGTACAACTCATACGTGAAGTTTCGCCGGCAACTAACCGTCTTTTCAGTGTGTATTTGGAGAAGGGTTTAACGTCTTATTCATCGTCCGTGTAGTTAGTCCCGTGTCTGATCTTCTACATACAGTGTAAGGTGTCTGTTCAATATCATCTTCTACAGGTTGTATGGGCTCATTCGGCACACTACTGATGCATTGTTCTTTCATAGATCCCATCATGTTTGGTTCTTTGAGTGACATATCATCTCTACGAGACATATCGCTGACTGTCTTCAGCCGAACCTCAGATGGTAGCTTGAAACGGAACATGTACCAGCTTTTTAACATCCGTGCTTCCACATTTTTTGGCTGAAGGACAACCTTCAACACTCTCGGTCCACTTCCTTTGCAGTTATGTGAGGTACGCAATCGTGACACGGATTTCGCTAACACATCATCCAAGCAGTGTTTCACGAATATGACACCACTGTTCTTTATCAGGGGTTGTTACTTCATGCTCATCACATGCTTCATTTTCAGGAACCCCGTGAAGAAGTATGGTTCTGGTTAAAGTTTCCTTCCGGTAGTCCTCTAAGGTGCGGTTAACTCGATAACGCTCGCTCCATGGGATGTCTGGAAAGATACGGATAAAGCAGTGTTCATTTCTGAGACTACGTGTCGACAATAGTATTGATACT